ATAGTTTGATAAGAAATTAATAAGGGAACCCGAATGAACGGGTTTCCTATATACGTCTCTACCTAACTTATTTCCTTCTTTGCTCAGTAATACATCTAAAAACGGCAATTTATTTTCCTTTTCTAACTCCCTGGTAAACTTATTGTTTGCATCTATTTTATTTGTTAGCTTAAGGAATTCCCCCAGACTATTTTTGCCATGTTGCCAAACAGCAAAGTAATCGTCCGTATAGTGGACTAATAACTTTGGAACTAGGAGCTTCTCTTGAAACACACTAATTTCGCATTGGGTCATGTAGTTATCAGCTAAAATAGGGGCTAAATAAGATCCCATAGCCAAAACCCGTATCTGTTCATACAAGTTACCATTTAAGGTAAAATATATATTATACATTGCCAAATTGACTAATCTAACTTCACTGATTTATATGCATGTAGAGTAAGGTTGAACTAGCCAACCGAATCAGAGGAGGCCTCATTAAGATCGCGTTGTTAGGTGTATAAAAAGTGACTAGGGTTGCAGCTGGCCACCTCTTGGTTTAACATATTTTCGCTCTATTTCGCAAAGTATTGGATCTTGCTCTAATGATGTATGTAACACTACAGACGAAAGCCTAGCACAGTTTCATATGGGTCGCAAGACGGTGAGGCGAGGACTTCTTCGCACAATTTAGCAGTCTTTCTTACGCATCAATTCTCCTCCGGTTTCCGGTAAAACCATATCACGAATTCCTTCTAACCAACTTTCCCTTTGAAATGGAGAGTCATACCACAATATTTCATTGATAAATTCTTCGAAACCCAGTTTTTCTTCAATAACACTGTTGTTTTAAGCGAATTATTTTGGCACTTCATTACATTTTCCACAAGTGGGACTTTTTATATAACAAAATTTCTTTATTGTATTGACGACTAAGCCACAGCTTCTTCTAATAGGGTATAGACGAGTAAGAAGCACGTGCAGCTTGAAGGCCTTACCATATCTCTTTTTTCCGCATTATTTTGCAATACATTAGTTCCATTTATATTTGCAATATCTTCTCTCCTTGAATAAGACTTGCTGTTTGTTGTGGTGAGGAAAGCAGCAGTGTGCTGGTCTTTGACGTGGCCAACGGTCGCCAACTATGTTCGCAAAAGGTACATGATGAGGACACCTACTCGGCAGCTGCCTTCTTCTCTGACAGTCGGAAGTTGGCCTTTGGTGGGATGAAGGGTACCTTTTATGTGATGGTGAGGCCTCCTTTATTATTTTTATGTATATTGTCTTATCTTTCTTCATAAAACCCTTTTATAACATCGATAAATCGGATACCTTTAGTGATACCTAGGACTTTCGATATAGGAGAAGCCTCTTATGATCGATTACGATTTACGATTATACACCTCTTATATACGGGTTTAACGCTTTTGTAATGGGAATTAAGGAATACTGAGTGGCCGTCAAAGGCTTACATAATTATAAATAATCAAGTGGTCTGATCTGGTTTTCTCAACTTGGTCGTGTCGTCAGGGCAACTTTGTTGGACGCATCTTGCCCGAATTTCTCTGCTATACTAGTTAACATAATTTTCAACCTCGGTGCATTCCCAGATGTTTCATCATTATCAGTAAGTCTTGCCACTTAACAACAAACTACAACTGGTCAATGAGACGAGTGATGTCGATCCTTTGACTAATTGTCTGATAAATATTCATGGTATCTCTCCTGTCCTCATATATTCACCTATCATATAAATGCCCCTGACAACGCGATCAAGTTGCGAAAACGAGATCAGACCACTTCTATACATCGAAAGGAGATTGCGACAAAATATAGGCCACATCTTGGTCTTCACATTTACTTATAAATAGTCAAATCACACAAAGCATCTTCTGGACATTAGAATAGACGCCCTAAAATATTCCGGCTCCTAGTTCGTCTTTATGGCTGCTTTACCCCTATGGCTTCCCTTATATATATATATTAAGAAACTAGAATTAATCCCATTATATGTGGGCACCTTGTTTACCTAATATACCGATATTTTCGATATTTGCCTTGTGCATCGAATCTTCTAATATGTACACCTCCAAATCTGTCCTTTATTTTTACTTCCTTCATAATTCTCATGCCCTCCGCCGAAAATCTTGCCTCTTGCGTGCTACGAGTGGTACATGGTTTGCATAACTCTACTTTTCTGATCTATTTCGTCTTTTTTAAACAATTTCTATGAGCTGTCGTCAGTTAGAAACGAGCTTGACTCAAAACTGACTGCTGACTTTCATGGTGATCCTCGAGGGTCTTGCTGAGGACATATAATGGATGTGATAATAATTGAACCACACTGCCCGATGGCTAAGCTAATTCTAATGTTTAGGGAGATTTCACTCGTTGCAGACTGAAAATAAGCATCAATTTTTCTGGCGAACTCAAACCACGATGAAAGTCAATACGAAAGTCCTTTTATCTCAGCGAATAGCTGTATTATAGAGGAACAGTTGTTAGTTCATAAAGACCTTTCATTAGCTGTTTAGCTGAGTTAGTAGAACTTTTGCTCAATTGTTTGAAGGTGGCTAATGTGGCATGACTGCCCCATTTTTTACTTTTTCGCTTACTTGAGTCGGCCACCTATGTTATTCATACATACTTCCTCGGCTTTTCGTCATAACTTTAATGCCTCATCACTTCCTCCTACTTATTGTCTTCCTTAGGACACTGAGGATCAAGGTCGTATTCTAACTATAGTGGAGGGTTATCGCGTACAAAGCATGGCCGCTATCATTCAACCACCGCTTCCGGCTTTGGTATCACCTCAAAATGGCACTGACGGGTCTACCTTCAGACGTGTATGCTCATCGACGTTTGCGCGACAAGCGTCTGGCTCAAGTCCAGACTCAGGCATGCCCTGCGACCCGAGTCCGCCTGGAGCACCTCAGATTGGCTCAATGAACGCTATAACTCGTTCTCATCAGACTTATCAAAGTAATCACCAGCACTGTCTCCATCAGGGATCTGGGGCTTTTCGTCGAGCTCATCCACAGCCGGGCACACCGTATGAGAATGGCGAATCAGATTTAGCTGATGAGAATGATGATCACGGAGTAGCGGTTTCCGGCTTTATGCCCTTTATTTCTCCTGTTCCAAGTCCTGCTGACCAGCTGCTTGTTGCAGATAGCCTGCACAGAGTTCGTCTCTTCGTTTTCGGCAGCACAAATGCTTCAACCGGTGGCACTACTTCCAGTGGAGTAGCCGTCAATACACCTGTTGGTAGCTCTAGCGGTGGCAGTGGGACAACTACGGAGACTACTGGCACAGGCAAGATTATTCTCTGTTCTATTCTTCTATCCGATAATGCCCCTCTTAGATGAAGAATGTATATATAAGTAAAGGCATCAGGTTTATTTTGTTTACTTGTTTCCTTAAATACAGTCCTTGATATATTTCACCTATTACTTTTTCTGTCTTCTGACACAGTGCCCGATCTGCCTCCGTTTGCGATGGATTATACCCCGTAGACAAACAATGATTCTTATTACATGTTTGTGTGTATTTTCAGGCCACCATTATATAGATAGTGAACGATATTTTCAATTTTATCTATGAATTTTTACTGATAAATCACTAAGGTAATGGCATGTTTAATGCCTTTCTGATTTGGCATGCAACAATTTCTGCAGACTAGTCAAAAGAATTTTAAAAAATGATACTT